AAAACTATTACATAAAAGAAATTGGCAATAACTACAAATGCATAAACTTGTGATTCAGCAATGCCTCTCCAGGAATTTATCATGAAGATATCTCTCTAGTAATATAAGTATACATATGTACAAAGTTATTCATTGCACCATTGTTTGTAATTTCAAATAATGAAGAAACCCAGGCATCCATTCCTAAGAGAATATTTGAATTGACTATGGTATATCCACAAAATGGAGTGTTATACTACTTGAAACATTTAAAATGTTAAATAAAGAAAGAACGTATCTTGAAACTGATATGGAATGATTTTCAGGAAGCATTGTTAAATGAAAAAAAGCAAAGGGCAAGAAAATATCTACAGTATGTAATTTTTTGTAAGAAATATACATTTATTAGACTACTTGTGCAGGGAGGGGGGAAATAATGAAGGGTAAACCACAGACCAATCCAACTCATCACCCTACAAAGGAAGATTGGGACAAAATTGGAAAGGCTAGGAGGAAGGGATAAAAGGGATCGATTCTGAGCTCTTATATGATAGATTTTTCTTGTTGCTTTTTCTTAAAATATATTTACATAATCATACAGTGGGTCCCTTTTACTGTATGGCTTATTTAGTGGAATTATATGCCTATGAGGTTCACCCATATTATTGAGGGCAGTAGTACACCGTTCCTTATCATTGCTCTGTAGGAATATGTCAGAAGCATTTATCCATTCTACAGTTGATGACATTCAGCTTGTTTCCAGTCTCAGAGTACAGTGAATGGAACTGCTGTGACTGTTTCTATACATTTACCTTGGTAGGCATATGCACTCCTTCTGCTGGACACCTTCTAGGGAGCAGAATTGCTGTGTTATGGAATATATGTATGTTAAGCTTTCATAGATGTGGCCAGTTTTCTAAAGTGCTTGTACTAATTCACATTCTCTGTGGTAATGAGCAAAAGTTCCTGTTGCTCTACATTCCTACCGAAACTAACAAAATATTGTGAGCATTTCAATTTTTGCCTCCCTGATACGGGTATAGTACTGCCTCTCACTCTGGTTTTAATTTACGTTTCTCTGATGATGTATGGTGTTGAACCTATAAAGGTGCTAACTGAGCATCTGAACATCTTCTGTGAAATAACTGAACTTTTTGTAAATTTTTTAAATGATTGTCAGATTTTTTCTTATTGAATGTATAAGCTATCTATATAGATAATGTGTGCCAGTGCCACGTAAATGTATGTCACACATCCTTTCCCAGTCTACAAGATGTCTTTTCCATTTTTTTATGGTGTCTTGTAGCAAATGAGGAGTTTAGAAGTTCTTAATGTTTTTCTTTCCTCAAAGATTGTCTGGGTTATTCTAGTTTCTTTGCATTTCTGTATAAATTTTTAGAACCCCCATATAATGTCTACAAAAACTTCTGCTGTTATATTTTTGTTATAATTACACTGAAACCTATAAATCAAATTGGGCAGAACTGTCAATAATAATGATTCTCCCAATCCATAATCATGATACCTCTCTCCCTATATTTGGACCTACTTCAAGCTCTGTAAGTAGTGTGTTATAGTTTACTATTCAGAGAAATTGCTCATTTCTGTTAGATTTATTAATAGGCACACAATCACTAAGGTTTGAATTGTCAGATTCTCTTGAAACACGAATCTGATTCAGCATCAGCTTTTCTAAGCAAGAGCCAAGGACAAAATAATAAGAACAATAGTGCTCTCTGCATCAACATCTCAGAGACCTCAAAATATCAGAGATGGTTTTCAGAATCCTCTTTTCCACAACAGACCCACTTTTCTTTGCAAGTGAGGAAAGCTAATGGAATGAAGTTTCGGTTAACTCAGGCAAGACAAGATTTAGGGTATGTCAGCATCCAACTTTGCTACTCGCCTAGCCTTCATCTGGCTACATTACTAGCTTCCGATATTCAACAGAACTGTAGTTTATAAATTTCAGTTTTATTTATAATAAACAATCTAGATATACCAGCTATACACTGCTAACAGCAGCCTTAGAACAGTCAACTACTGCACAGAATAACCCATTCAAAATCCTCATCATTCATTTTCATTTTCAGCCAGTAAACGCCATCAGTCACGGAAGGTCAAATTTGTATCTGATATATCTTAGGTTAGAGATTTGCCATTAATTCTTTCCTTCACCCTATGTGTTTAATGTTTTGATGCTATTGTAAACTACATTAATTTTTAAATTGTTTCCTAATTCTTTGTGAATAGAAATGTAATGGATTTTTGTAAATTAAATGTATACTGAGGAAGCAAATTTATTATTAATTACAATAGATTCTTCTTCAATTATGTACTGTTATTATTATTACTACCACTATCATTATTATTTTTGCCTTGTGGTACTTGTTAGGAATGCCAGAACAATGACGACTAGAAGTGGAAGAAGAAATCTATGTCTTCTTCCCAAGCTCAGGAAGAAAGCATTTAGTATTTTACCATCAAGTAGTATGTTCATTTGTAGGTTTAATCTTTGTTTTTTAAATGCCCTTTATCAATTTCTGGTTTCCTCTCCAACATTTAAGCACTTGGAAGTCATCACTCTTATCCTTACAATAAAAAAAGCAAGGGAAAAAAAGGAAAATTAGAGATTCTCATTGGATTCACGAGGATTCTGAGATTCAGAGCAAATCACCACCCTAAGTCTGGAAGAGACAGTATATCTAAAGTCACAACCTAGATCAGCCTACCTGGATACGAGCCGCAGGTGCCATAAACTGGAAGGAACACTTAAATGGCAATTTTGACAAATTGCTGGAGGTTGAGTATTCACTAGCTTACTCCTGGAGGCCAAGGTTTTAAGGGGATCTCTACACTTTACTGGGCTTTACCTCCAATAACTTCATTAGGTTCTTGTGGTAAAGATTCAAGAAAGGTCCCCTCATGACTTTGGTAGGGGAAGGGAAGAGTAATCTACACGAAATACACCCAGAGCCTTCTCCATAACAAAGGCGCCAAGGACAAAGAACCAGACTGAGCTATACCCTACCTGGAACAAGGGAGCTACTCCCGCTCTAGCAGCTTTCAGTCACCCTGTCTCACCTGAGAGAAAAAAACAGTCTACAGGAATCAAGACTTCAATTAAATGTATAGGGAACCCTACAACCAAAGAAGACAGTAAGGACTGTACCACTGAAGAAACACTTGTGAATGTCAGCCTTGAGTCACAAGTCCACTAAAAGACTGAGATTCAATGGTAAAAATATAGAATGATTCCTTTCCCCTAAACCTTATCACCACACCAAAGAGGTTCCAGTATAACAATGGATTACAGTAGAAAGAGGTGCAAGACACAGACCCTGTCTGATGAAGTATACTTAGAAAAATCCAAAGTCAAGAGGAAATAAGCCTCAGGCCCCTAGAGCTACAGCATTTAACACAGTCCAACTCCTAACCAGATTAACGTAAATTCTCACACTAAAAGCCTCTTTGCCTCAGATCCAAGTACCCGGTAATACATCTATTACTTTTGGAAATAACAAAAAAATGCAAGGCATGGCAAAGACAAGAGAAAAAACACTCAGGAGAAAATCAGCCATTAGACCTACCATCAGACATAATAGGAATGCTGGAATTAACAGGCTGAGAATTTAAAATCATCTATGGATGTGATATCATGTTTTTTCCATTTACTTTGATGATATATTGACTTATGTTTATGTTTTTCCAAATGGTAAGGTTTTCTTCATTCTTTAAGTAAAACTCACTTGGTCATGAAGTATTACCTATTTTGTATATTGACAGTTTAAATTTGTTTATATGTTCTTAAGAATTTTGCATATATGTTAATGAGAAATACCAACCTGTAATTCTCCCTGCTGATGATATTATATTTTTATTTTGAGATATTGCTAGCTTCAAAAAAAAGTATAGGAGTGTTTTCTCTCATTCTACTGAAGAGGTAGGGTTTAAAATTCCACCAGTGAAACTATCTAGACTTAAACTGGCATTTGGGGCAAGATTTTTGATCATGGATTCAATTTCTATATGAGATAGAGAACTATTCACATTTTTTTTCTTCTTGGGTCAGTTGTCATAAATTTAATTTAATATGATAATATATATTTGAGTCCCAGGACAAAATGTTTGGCTTTAGTTTTAGATTTTTTATTTTATGAAATACTTTAGGCATTCCAAAAGAAGAAAGAATAAAAATTACAACAAACATCATACACATATCTGCTAGATTGTTAATATTTTGATGTAATCTTTCATGTTTATTTTGCAAATTAGAGTTTTTCTTTATCACTTTGTTTTGAAATTAACAAGATAATTTCCAAAGAATAATGAATTTAAAAAATTAAACTGAATTTTGATTATCTTCACAGAGACTCTTTGACGTTTATACATAGAATCCTATGTTTGGGTGGGGAAGAAAGATAGATATTGATAATAATGATAACGAAGAGGAGAACCAGATGAGGGAGAAGAGCAGGAAAAGGAGGAGGAAGAAGGAATAAGGGAAAGAAGAAAGAGAAAGAGAAGGAGAAGAGAAAGGGAAAGAGGAAGAGGAACGAGGAGGAGGAGGAAGAGGAGAAAAAGAAGAGAAAGAAAGAGAAGAAGAAGAAGAAAAGAAGGAGGAGGAGGAGGGATAATCATGAAATAAGAGATATTGGTAAATTTCTTAGATAAAGAAGAGAATGTTGCCATGGTTGATGATTATATTAATGCATCACAGCAAAATTATTGTGATAAAAGAATTGAAGCTCAAAGACATATTTGCGATGTCAGAAAAGGTTTATTAGATAGACACTGAAAGACAAAGGCTTGCCAGAGTACAATGACTCTCCATCCCATACAGAAGATGATCCCTGAAGAACATCACTAGTCAAACCCCAACATCTAGTTCATCAAGTTTTCTTCACATTATTGTCAGAAACTAGGTGGTCCAAATAACAGTTTAACTATCAAGACGAGTTCAATGAAGCATGCAGGTTATGAAATAAAGCTTTCTAGATAAATCAGAGTCTCACAGAAGACTAAGTCCACAAATTGTAAAGTTTTAAAGATTCATTCAGTAGAACCCAGAAGACCAGTATCTTCCATAGTAACAGGGACCGATAGCAGCCATATCCGTAGCCTCCACAGCCAGAGCCGTATCCGTAGACTCCATAACCACAGCCGTAGCCCAGTCTGTGGAAGCAGCCCCATCCACAGCCACAGCCAGAACCCAGGCCACCAAAGCCTCCATAGCCGTAGCCGAGGCCTCCGTAGCAGCTGCCGTAGTAGCTCATGGTGTCGGAGGTGGTGAGTTTGGTTTGGTGTTGTAGGTCTGTTTTGTGATGTGACTGCACAGGGCCATTTATATACACTGCTGGGTGTGGACAGCCACATCTCTAAATGTCATCTAATAGAACACATTACTTAAAACTATGTCAACTATCTTGTTTCCTAACACCAAACCATGCCTTCCCTTAAGCAACTAGTTACTTCAAAGTTATGAGACATGTTTGATTTTCTGCTTTATTTGAATTCCTAGAAAAATACTTTACTGCTAATGATATGCTATTGTGTTTATAATCCTCATTCTTGTTTGGGTTTCTGAGTTTCAAATTCCCTAAACAACTCTAAGCTTCAGGTGTTCTTCAAATTGCATCACATGAGATTGCATTTACCTCTAATTGTACCCTTGCCTTTGACATCCCATGCCTGTTAACTCTTTTCTAAGCCAAGTGTGTTATCTTTCAATCTGCCAAGAATTCATATAAATTGAACCACAATTGTTCCCTGAAATACTAGCCCTATGAAAAATGGCCGTCAACTAGGTTGTGTGTCTTAATTCAATGTGCTTTTAATGTCAGCTGAGAATCACATTTGGTTGTGCAATGATGATACTTAATTTTTAGAAGAGTCACAAACTGCAGTCAGAGGAACTGCTCAAGCATCCTGTCTCTTGGGAGTAAGCCTGCTTGGTAGATATCATTGAAGAGTGTACAAAAAGAGTTTCTGCTAATCACGTAAATAGCTCCCTGCCCACAAATAATCCTTATTCCAGATTCTAAATTCCATATTATCATAAGACTATAGAATTTCAGAATTCAGAGAGACTTGAGGCACCATTTATTTCAGTGTATTTTATTCTTTTTAACCAATGAAAAAAATACAACTCAGACAAACAAAAGTATGCAACAATAATCTTTAAGAACAAGTATATGTATAGGAAAAAATGTAGTATATACCGAATTCAGTACTATCCGTGGGCAGGTTCAGGCGTCCACTGGGAGTCTTGGAATGTACCCCCAGCACGTAAATGGTGACGGCTGTACATGAAACATCAAGTGATCTGCCCCTCTCCTCATTCTCAGCCTGCACTACCTCCCACTCAGCAGAAAAAAGACCAGACTTTCCCCCAATCACCCCAGGACTCATGCTGCTGCTGAAAAAAAGACACTCTTTCCAGGATTTATCTTTCTCAGGCACCTCTTCATTCCCTTCTCAAGATTTTGCCAAATATGAGTATTAGAGACTCCTGATTTTTTTTTAACAATCTCTTTAATCTTTATATATTTTTAAAATATATTCACTTAAAAGTCAGTCCTATTCTGTGGTTTTGAAACAAATGTGGAAAAATCAAACAAACCAAAACTGCCAGGGGGAAAGGGAAAATCCAGTTTCCTCAAAGTGTCTTTCAACTCAATAGACTGTAGACACGAGCCAGTTTGTGAAGGTAATTATATATAAGCTTCACTTTCCCCATTATTGTATCTCTAATAACTGCAAAAGCAGCACAAGAACTTTAACTTGAAAATTATCACAGGGCATTTTCATTGGAAATCCAGAAAAAGGAATTTTTTTATGATTCTCCATGAAGAACACACGTAAATGACACATTGATTAATAAAGTACTAGAGGGGCTGGTCCAGTGGTACCGTGGTTAAGTTCATGTGCTCCACTTTGGTGGCCCAGGGTTCACAGGTTCAGATCCTGGGCACAGACCTAGCATCACTTGTCAAGCCATACTGCGGCAGGATCCCACATAAAATAGAGGAATATTGGCACAGATGTTAGCTCAGAGCCAATCTTCTTCACACACACACACAAAAGAGAACTAGATAGGATATTTTAGACATCTTCTATGTAATTTATATTTTATTTTTAAAGTAAACAATGATAAATAATATTTACCACATTATTAATATGGGCCAGGCACTATCTGAAGTCATTTATATGTATTAAACCCAAACTCATAACAATTCTTTGTGATACTATTATGTAGTCGTACTATCTGTCTCCTCAGGCAAGAGCAACAAAAGCAAACATAAACGGAGTACATCATGACCTGAATAGATGTTTTCCAAAGAAAAGTATTTAAGCTTCAAAAAAGAAATACTTAAACCATTTAAGAAAAAAAATACAATTACTTTTAAAAAGAAATTTAAAACAAGTGTTTTAAATATTTCTTTTTAAATCTTCTTTAGTTGGCCTGAAAAAAGAAAGCATGCTACTCATAAATTAGCCTTTCATAATTCTTTAGCAACCCCATCAAGCTTATCGATTAATGTACTACTATCATTAGAAATATCTAGGGGAGTTATTAGCCTGCTTAAGGCAGCCTGCACAACTTTTCAGTGATGAAGCCATTCAACAAATATTTACCTTATGATTACTATATTTCAGGCAGTAATATACTCAGTGTAAAAAGGAAAAGCTAGCCCATGAACTTCGTGGGAAGCTACATTCTAGTGCAGGATGAGATATTAAAGCAGTAATATGCAAGCAATATATGACTAGAGAATTTTGTATAAAAAATTAATTGAAAATAAAATGAACAAGGAGCTCCGTTTGGAGGCCTGGGCAGTTGTCTTACCTGTGACACAGTCTGTAACATAATCGTGGGATATTGACTTGTTGGAAGGCTGGGTCATTGTCCTTTAGCTAAATATCTACAGAATGCCATGTGATTCTGGATTTGTGTTTCTAGCTCTCCCTTTCCTCAAGATCATATCACTTTTCCATAATCATTTCTTGATACTTTCAAGGGATTTTACATTAAAAAATGATTTTTTTTTAATCAGAAACTTCTCTTGCTGCTTCATCCTTTTGCTCTTGAAAACTGTATTTTCTCTTTCCTACATTTTCTATTTTAATATGGATAATTTTAACAGTTTTCATTTCTTTTCTTTCTTCTTTATTGATCTTTCTCTCCAAAATGGCAGTGGGGCTTAGATTTGCCAGTTATGGCAAAAAACATACTTCTCTCATGAGGTTTGTATTGTATCTAGAGAAATTGTAAATTGTTCCTCTAGAAAGAGTTACTGAGTGCCTAATATGGTCCAGCTGCTGGGCTATATATACCTTGAGGATAGACCAGTGAACAAAATGCCTCTTGCTTCCTGCTTGAAGTATGCCAGTAGCATAACTTTCTAAATGTCATCTCTTTGATTGTTCTTTTTCCCTTCATACAATTCAAAATATTTTTAAGAACTTCTATATCAATGACTAGATTTAATGTTAAAGAGAGTTGCATGTCTTAGCACTGGCTGAAAAAAATATTTCACACACACGCACACACCTGCCTTACATTTAAAGAAAAAAGTCATATTGATAAGCAAAAGTAATGAAATATATTAGCAAATTAATTATACTGGATCTACTCTACATAGCTAGAAAAAAAAAAAAACCTTCATAAAACTCTGATGATTGAACACAACACAAATTTGTGGTCTCTAATCCCAACTCAACCCTCAACACTTCCCCCAAACCTATCTTTATGCCCCAGTTCGTTCCTTCCTCCATACTAACAGTCATGCCAAACATCTGTCTTTCTTTTAAAACACTGTCTCACTCTCCCATTCTCTCACTTGGGCCCAATTCCACTTCATTTCACAGAGCAAACCATCACCATCAGGCAGTAATCCTGGCAACTCTCCACCTTCTCTGTCTCATCTGCACCCTTATTCACTTTGAAACATTTCAAAATCAACATGTGAAAAATGTTAACAACAACAACAAAAAAGACAAAAAACACTGATCATCTTACCTTTCACCATCATGCACTCAACATTTTTTTCTCTTCCCTATGTTTCCTATCTTGGCAAAGAGCTTCAAAAATCACCAACTATCCAAGCCAGGAACCCTGGATTCATACATAAATCAACCTTCTCTTTTTGCATCCCCCAAATTCAAATTAACTCTGATTCATTCTTTCAGCAAATAATAGAGAACGTATACTCACTTGTCTTGGAGATAAAGTAGTAATAAAAGAAACAAATCCCCCATCTCCATGGGGCTAACATTTTACTGTGGAAGACAGACTGTAAACAAATACAGACCTAATTTATTCACTCAACAAATATTTACTGAGTGGCTACTTTGTGCCCAACATTTTTTCAGGCACTAGGAAGTGTATTTCAAGGTAGGAAACAAGGTTGAAAAAAGCCCCTTCTTCTAGGAAGTTTCGTTCTAAAGGTGGAGGAGGGCAATCAATCAATCAACCAATCAATAGATTGTGTTACATACAGATAGTGGTAACAGCTAAGGACAAAATATAAAGCAGAGGTGGAAGACATGCAATGAAAAGTTGGGGGTATTACAAATGCAGATAGGTTGGTAGGGAAGGCCCACTCTAGATAAGTGACCTTTGGAGAAAGGTCTGAAGGATGAGGGCATAAACCACTTAGCTATCTGGGCATGCCAGACAGAGGGAACTAAAAGCACAAGTGTCCTGAGTTGGTGGCATGCTAGTTTCCTTTAAGGACCAATTTGCCTGAAGTAGAATGAAGCATGGGGAGAAGAGAGGAAGATTGCTTCAGAGATGTAACATCATTTAGTTCTGTACTGAACAGTTAAACTCTTAGCAGCACTATTTAAAAACTAACTTCACACATATACCTAGGGAGGTCATAGCAAGGGCTTTGGGCTTACTCTGAATCAGGCAGGAAATGGTTGTTCAGAATGGTATGAGACTCTGTCTCTGTGTTAGGCAGCATGTTAAGATGGCCCCCAAGACCATCCCCCTTCCTAGTGGATACACCCTACATTACTCCAGTATTGTTAATATGATGATTTTTCTTCCCTTGATTAGGCTATTTCATATGGCACAGTTGACTTTAAGAAAGGAAGATTATCTGGGTGGGCATGACCTCATCACATAAAACCTCTAAAGGTAGAGTTTTCTCTAGCTGATAGCAGAATAAGAAGTCACATACTCAGAACATGAGGAGGGTTTGACATGGCTTTGCTGGCTTGAAGGTGGAGAGGGCCATGTGGCAAGGAATGTAGGCAGCCTCTAGTTGCTGAGACTGGCCTCCAGCTGTCAGCGTAGAAGTGGGAACACAGTCCTACAACCATAG